TCTCCTGTATAGAATGACACCAATTGGCGAATTGACCAGAAAATTGACTCATGTTGTAGGCGATGACAAGAAGGTGAGAGAGCAGCGGCCTGGTCAACGATGAACGAAAGTGGAGGCTTAATCACTGTCCGGATGCGAAGAAAATACAAGGTTTGAAATTGAAATCCATGGGTTCAATAATGAATTTGAAATACACGGATTTTAAGTCTTTGAAATACCTTGCATAATATACATGTATTTTACTTAAATTCAATTACATTTTATTTAGGTGAAAACAAACAGTGATATTAAATTTAAAGTGTTTAAATTCAAATACATCCTGTCAAATTCATGTTCCCAAATAGAGCATTAGAGATGTTTAATGAATTTGAATTTAAGTGTGCAATTGAAATATTCCAAAATGGCTCAAAAGAAAAATCTAGAAAACCCTAACATTAGATTTAAGAGACGAATATAGAAGTATATATTTAACTCTTGAAGAAGGAAGATTCAAGTCTTACTTCTAAATTTGACTCTAAAGTAAATTGTGAAGAAAAGGATCAATCCAGGGAAGAATCAAATCTCCAAATCTATATTCGACTCTTTGACCTTCAAGGTTCAACTTTCAAAGTTGAAGAGTTGACTCTTAATTCTAAAGAGTTCCGAAAAGCTAGAGGCACAAGGTCTATTCAACTTTCTATTGGGAGAATCAAACCTTAGAGGCTCAATATTTGACTCTCACTTTCAAGATTCAACTCTTGGCATTGAGGAGCAAAAATTGGCTAAATCCTAGAGTTTCTTGGTGAATCAACTCTTAAATTGAAGAGTTCAATCTAGACTATATAGAGTTGACTCTTGGGTTACAAATTCAACTCTTAACTATACAATAATTTCTAATTTTTTTAATTTGATGAGTCTATTGAACATTTAATGCATTTTAACAATCCCAAAAGACTAATTTCGACTTGGAAAGTATATATATGGTTGATGAGAGTATTGAAGAGTCTCTTAGACACTTTTATTAAATACCTTTTACCTACTAACTTGAGATTCTTGTGCTTTGACTTGTAAAGTTAATCTTTGAATGATCTTTATTTGTAATCCTTTACTTGTTTTCTTTGAGTGATATTTTGAAGGTGTGATTAATTCCTTCAAGACTGATTTGTAGGAAGCATTGTTGGGTTTGCTTTATAAAGGGGAGTGATTTGTGAGAAAAGTCGTTTCTTGTAAAATGATTAAGTAACTCCTTTAAGCCACATTTGTTCATTCTATTGGAAATTGTGAAGAAAATCCTTGATGAATGAAGCCAAGGTAGAGAATTAGATGCCAAGTGATTGGACAAAACCTTTATAAATCTATGTGCAAGTTTCTCTTTTTTTCTCTCTTTGATTTTTACTTCGGGGTTACAAAAAAGGAGGAATATTTTTGAACTCTAACTCACCCCTTCTTGGAGTGCATTGAACCAACAAACACTAATTAGAAGATAGTGTTTATCAACCAAACTTCTAAATAATTAAGAGAAAAGTCCTTATTAAGGGGTGAATTTATATTGCCTTAAAATTTGTATCATGTGTAGCACAACATGAATAAGACCAACTTCGAAACTAGTGACTTAAAGGACAAACAAAACTTATCTTTGCATTAAACATGCTATACATTCTATTTTGTAAATAGCCATAATGGAATCAATATCATCAAAAGCGACATTCATCTCATATTGCTAGAAATGGTATAGACATTCTACTTTAACATTACTCTTTTATACATAGCCAAGTGTGAGAACATTTATTTTGACAACATGGTCAAACACATGTGAAGATCATGACTTCTACATTTGCTGTCAGTATAGCATAGCTCCTAGTAATGGATAAAAAGACAACTACATTATAATTACATGACTTTTAGCAACTACATGACTATATTACAATTGTATGACTCCTAGTAATGGACAAAAAGCCATACATACTACAATAACTCGCATCCGCTAGGGGTGCCCTAATGGTTAAGAACTTAAATATCTATGTTGGAAATCTCAAATTTGAATTATGGGATGAGTGAGGAAAGGTTTGGCAATGAGAGGGTTAAGTCTTGTTATATAACCAATCATCTAAGGTACCCAAAAAATATGATAGCCATTTAGTTGATTAGCATGAAGTTGCTTACAATAACATCTTTACCCATTAAGAACCTTCTTGGTTGTGGAAAATGGACATAGTCGTGATGCTATGGTTCTTATTAAATAACAAGTTCTCTACATACATTTTTATGATCATAAGGGGTGTTCATCCTTCTAGCAATAGAATCATGAAGTACAACCAACGGCTCTTTGGTGGTTAACCATTCATAATGGTACAGTACCTAGCAAGAAACACATCCAAAACCATCTTTTAATGATATGAGTATATTCAAGGGAGGTCATTGTGAGATTTTAGTTGCTTCCTTTATTGTATTATACCTTGATCATATTGAAAGCTATGGCTAGGCACACAATGTTGATCCCTTCTTATGCACAACACTTACTTTGCTACATTTACATAATCGCTATGTTAGGGCA